CTGATCTCAACAAGAAAGGCAAGGTTATGAACAAGGTAATATGCACCTATACAAGGGATATCAGGTTATTCGAATTTATCCGAGTATTTATCATGATTATTATAATAATGTTTGTATAGTTCATGTTGTACATCTACAGAATATTGAGAATATCATCACATTAATATCAAGTTTTCATGTCAGGTACATAGTTCAATGTGAATTTAGTGAGTACGAATACGATATCTATTTTTGTTTCTACGTCCTACGTGGGCTTGTCTAATGAGAACACCACAACAATTCCAAACAAATGCCAAACGTTACACACCTGTGTGATTCATAAACAGTAAATTTATTGTTTTCGCCTAATGGAGCCGAGAATATAATTTTTCAAATATTTATGTCTGCTTCACCAATCAGAGATATCGGAAATTAATATCAGGAACATTGTTTTCTCAGTTTTCTCAAGCAGACATTGTAATAAGAAAATTTCTATCTCTAGAACCAGAAACAACCAAGCACTATTACCAGACTATACAGTGTTTAATTATGTATATCAGCCGAATAAAAAAGATTCTATAATGAATCAACGAGGTAGTGTTTGAAAAAACCCTCGGACACTTCGATTGATCGAAAGCACATTGTTCCTATATTTTTATACAAGATGGTGTCATGTCACAGCTTTTTAGTTCCAAATGCACAACCCTGTATGTTATTGAATTTTGTTTCATCATGAAATTCCAGACGTATACCATATACAGTCCTCTTCAGAAAACATGTCGCATATGGACGATTATAGCATTCTCAATAACTCCTGCAATGTGAGCGCTGACACCGTCCAACCGCGACATGATCTCTGAAGACGACTGTACAATGTCATATACCAACTGTTTCGGAAATTTTAACGTGCTGATATTTCTGTATATACGGAGCATTATACAGTGTGTCCCACTTACCATGCTCACCATGGGTATCTTTTTAACGGTGAGAGATACGAGGTCGGTTAAATGACACCAAATGTGGAGTTTGTTAAGGCCAACTATAATGTGAAAAAATATTTTGATAAAATCTATTCGTTTTTGTTTTATACGCAAAAAACAGATTTTGATCATTTTCATGTCTCCTCCGTAACTTCTTTATTTATGAAAATATTCAAATAGGAATTTCACATTCTCATGGCAGTTTTTCAAAGTGATTTCGAAAAAAATATGAAATTGATACCAACTCTTCTAGAATTTGAGATATCAGCACCAACTTTAGTTTTTCAAATGTAGGTCATAGCTCACTATGACTTAGTTGCAAATAACTTTCTTTTCTCTTACAGATGATATGTCGCAGTAATAGTTTTGTGTTGATAACAACGAACTTATCGTCATTTATACAAAAACAAAAAATTATTTGGAAGCCGCCATCTTGAATTTATGAATTTTAACAAAAAAATCATGATCTTCGACCTCAAAAACCCCCACTTACCAATTTTGAATGAGATCGGACCAAATCTTGTCCGCCATCTTGGAGCAGCCATTTTTTTTAATTCCAACAAAAATTCCATAATGTCTTGTCACCGAAATTATGAACACCTGCCAAATTTCAAGATAATCGGAGTTATGGAATTTTTGTTGAAATTAAAAAAAAATGGCTGCTCCAAGATGGCGGACAAGATTTGGTCCGATCCTATTCAAAATTGGTAAGTGGGAGTTTTTTAGGTCGGAGATCATGATTTTTTTGTTAAAATTCATAAATTGAAGATGGCGGCTTCCGAATAATTTTTTGTTTTTGTATAAATGACGATAAGTTCGTTGTTATCAACACAAAATTATTACTGCGACATATCATCTGTGAGAGAAAAAGAAGTTATTTGTAACTAAGTTATAGTGAGCTATGACCTACATTTGAAAAACTAAAGTTGGTGCTGATATCTCAAATTCTAGAAGAGTTGGTATAAATTTCATATTTTTTTCGAAATCACTTTCAAAAACTGCCATGAGAATGTGAAATTCCTATTTGAATATTTTCATGAATAAAGAAGTTACGGAGGAGACATGAAAATGATCAAAATGTGTTTTTTGCGTATGAATAAAAAACGAATAGATTTTATCAAAATATTTTTTCACATTATAGTTGGCCTTAACAAACTCCACATTTGGTGTCATTTAACCGACCTCGTATCTCTCACCGTTAAAAAGATGACCATGGTGAGCATGGTAAGTGGGACACACTGTAGAAGCTCACCTTATGTGATAGAGTATTGAGTATTGATGAATATCATATAGCTATCAATTCACATAATCAACTAGGAAAAAGCCAAATACTCGAAGTGGAATGCAATAATCACAAAAAGAGAAAAACTCGAAGTCATTATCACAATAGTTCATAAAATGAACGAAAATGGTAGATGACGAGAGAAAAACAACCACTTTCCTGGGTATATGCCACGCAGAACATTGGATTACGTTTGCCCGAAATCTATGCAATAATTCGTATAGACGAATAAAATCGCAAGTGTTTCCTTCCTGTACGTTGAGCTGCGCCTAAGTGGTTCAGGACCGCATGACTACCTGCAGACCGGTTTCGAGCTGTTGGCTCTCATCAGTGCAGGGCTGTCCCAGATGGCTTCTTGACCGCTATCTGCAGCGAACCTGACTCAACGTAAACGCATCTCAGCATTTTCCACGAGGCGTTCAACGTCCGCTCGAAATTTTATGAACTATTGTGGTAAGAACTTTGAATTTCTCTCTTTCTGTGAATTAACATAATATTTTCTGTACGAAGTTCATCCGAATTCATATTAATTGTAGGAGAGCCGGCTGAAAAATTTCTACCGTCATCTGATAACAAAATAATCTCATATTCTATAATAACATCGTGATTTATCTTCCTTGTGCCGAAAGTTGCACTCGATCTTGCGATTTGATAACAAGATGAAAATCATGCCATCCGATGCCAATTGAATGGTACATCTCAAAAACCGAAGACAAAATATTCTCGAAAATATTGATGCTCTCTGGCACTAACTTAGATCAGTTTGGATCGCGGCATGTTTGGATATTCGCAAAGGGGACATTATTCCCTTTCATTTGCTCATTGGTTCCAACTCGTTATCACATGACGGAATAACAGCAGCGAGTTGACTCAGATTGATAATTCTATGATTGAGTGCAAATTACCGCCCAGGAAAGTGCAATTTTTCAATCATTTTGCTCAGAATAGTGATTGGCACAGGTGCCGTTCGATAAAATACAATGATTCTACATGCTTTTGGGACATAATATATCATTTCGTTATCAGATGACGATTGAATTTTGCAACCGGTTTTTGGACTTTAATGTTCAAAGCTCAAATAACTTGAGATCTTTAGAATCGCATGCATAATCCGATAAATTCAAAGCCGAATATACAGGATGTTTCAGAAAGAGTGGTCCCATTGCTAGGGTATAGGAAAAACACAGAAACTATAAGTTGGGTTTCCCCAGTTGAAGATTTTTGTAATGAGATACGCATTCAAGATAAGAGGTGTTGAAAAAAAATCATACACACATTTTTCACGATTATGTCTAAACTACGGGAAACAATATAATGACATTTCGTATGAACAAAATATTCTGACTCATAGAGGGCGCTATAGTAACAGTGACACGGTTCCTACTGAGTAGTAAACATAACTTCTTTGAGGTTAAAATTTCTGATACGCATTTTTTTGTATTTGAAAACAGACAATGTATTCTTGGTGAAACTCCATAGCTCGAATCTTTTTCGGAATAATCTGATGACTAAAAACTGATTCTGATATAATTGAGAACTATCACTTATTTATTGAAAACGGAAAACAATGATATTATTTCGCTGGGATCACAAGAATAAGAACTGAACTAAACAAAACCTTACTTTGATGACTTCATCTGATCCTCAACCGATTAGAAGATTGATGCATTTTTTAGAAATAAGGATACAATGGGCGTGTACACCTTAGTAGAAATTTCAACTCAAACCATGATCATAATGATCCTTTTATACATAAATAATGATTGACGACATAATTCGATCAAAAAATTAACTGAAATGTTTTATTTTTGGACATAAATAATAGTACCTTCCGAAAACGGACCCCCTCTTATGACGTAGAAACCTCTCGCGCTAATTCACTCTGTCAGAAATCAAGTATCATTCATCCCTGTCTGATATAGTCTTGTTTCAGTATTAGGGTTTTGACGTCACATCATCGCCTCGTTTTCAGAGGTCCGAAAAATCGGGGATTTCAATAATTTTTCATAAAACGTAGGGAGCTCACAGCAAGAAACGGTTTGCGGTGGTGAGCTAGTTCGGGTGAGTTCTATCGAATTATGAAATAAAAAATTTTCGTGATATGAGCCCATTGTATATTCGTGAAAAATGAGGACATTTTGAACACTTACTCTAACTGATTGAATATTTTACGTCTTCAGTCAATTTCATTTAATTTTTCTTCTTGTGATTCTTTGTTCGATCAATAACTTCAACATCATAATAATGTTTTTATTCTCAATTTTCAATAAATAGCTCATTGTTTTCAATAATATTCATTTCATACCAGTTATATCGGATTTAGTTATTCCTCATTTTCAAATCAAAATATTCCAATAATGGTACACAGTATCCAGTATTACCAACCTAACACAACCTCAAAAATAGAACTACTCGGTGCAAACCTTGATACCAGCGCCACCTTTGAGAGTGCGATGTATCATCGTTCAAACTACATTTCTTATACAAAATTACATTGAGATGTTGCCAATAATGCCAGTAGTTTCGACATTGGTAATCGGAAAAAATCGTGTAATTTTTTTCAACCCCTTTCACTAGCCTTTTACCAGCAACCAAAACTCATTTCCCACATATTCTACATATCGTAACAACCAGGAGTGCCAGGACACTTTTCCTGAAACAAACTGAATATGTTCATCATGAGCTTATACCAAGACAACCAAAATATCAGGGTAGGATTTCAGGAAGTGTTGTCGGCTGAAAACGTTACAACTCTTGATTTAATCCTCTTTTGCACATAACACGAAAGCACTCACCGTTATGAATGTTTCCTTGCCTCCCAATTCCCTCTCAGAGCTCCATTGATTCTTCTGGACTGGCACCTCGAACGAGCCCTGACGGTTCAGAATTTATAATGATTTTTATCAGAACAGTTCATCTATTTTCAATCAATATTCATTATATCAATCTTTGTCATGAGATATGCAATGATTTCAATCTATAATTATATAGAATTATTATAAACCGGCGAGGAAATAATAATGTAGCGGTATATATAATAATAATAGTAATAATAATATCGTCTTTATTATTTTCTTCCTCTTCAACGGTACAGTCATTAGAATAAGAATAATATATATATATATAACATATTTAACTTCGGAAGAAAATTAAAGGCGGAGTTCAATTTCAATAGTGACGAATCACCATTGAGATTACTCTTCCACTCAACCTAGAACATATCGCTTAACGCTTCTATGAAGAATATAAATAATAATCAAATATAATCGCTAAATGGTAGTTATAATTAGGGGTGATATTAACATAGGGATGAGATAGGTGGTTTGAATGTTAGAATCAGTTACCGCGAAAGAAATTCAGTGAATTCATTTTTGAACCGATACACATTTTTCTGTTTGATTGAATCAGGAATGCCGTTATACATTGCATATATCTGGTACGTGAAACATCTTCGAAAAATCTCCAAACGAAATATTGGAGGGGTAAGTCGGCCTTTGTGCCTTATATTAAGATTATGCATCACGTCAGTTCTAAACGAAATTTTCTCATGTAGGTAAGGAGGGTTTTTTTCCATGATTATCTTGTGGAATAAAGTGGCAGCATGTAGTTTTCTCCTATTTTCCATGTCTAACCATCCGATAGTTTTCAATTTGTGAGATATTCTCTCTTTCTTTCGGATACCAAAAATAAATCGTAGGCATGAGTTCTGAACCTTTTGGATTTTTTGTTTGAATGTTAAGGAATATTAGACTGAAATTTAGTTCCAAAGAAAAGCTGACGGCTTCATTATTGTACAGGGAAAAACAAAAGTTCTCTTTCACCCTTAACGTTCAACGCTCTGTGGCAAAAGTGGTTGATTATACTTAGTGGTGTTTGATTCACGTCAATATCTTTTGTTTAAGGAGAGATATACAAAAAGTTTCAACCATTTCGGTCCGAACGGTACTCATTTATGTAACACAGACTGCAAAGATTTCTGTTGTCGATAATTGTATTGTCAAAAGAAACAGATCCGCATGGGCATTGTATATTTGGTGAGATTTTAATGTTCTTTTGGAAAATATTTGTGATTGTTTTGTCACATTAACTTTGCGAAAACGTGTGGTTTATAAGGTATGCAATAGTCGTTAGTAACTTTGTTCACATATGATATATAGGCTTATTTTCATCATGGTGCAAATATGTACCACTCGGTAATTATTGTGGCATGGTATGTATGAGTACAATCTTTGTTCAGTTATGAGAAACATGAATAGACTTCCGTTGCCAAACACGAATTGGAGGCGGTAGTGGAGTTATTTTGAGTCAATAGTGGAGATGATAAACCTGATGATGGTGACGATGAAATTCCTGATGATAAAATTATGTACCAGGGGTTAAATCATCAATGTTTAACCCCATAAGAACCTTTTATTCGAATGAATAATATCTCAAATGAGAATATACATACATATTGTATATATCAATGAAATCAGAAAAATTGGTATTCAGGACCGAAAGGGTTGAGAAAGTATGGAATTTTTCGATTTGTATTCAGAATATTTCTCAACTTATAGAACCTTTTTGGAATAAACTCTTTGTCCTGTGTTTAAGGCCTACGATTCGCCCTGCAAGAAGCATTTGGGGTAATTTCTCAAGACTACTTGAGAAATCAACTAGATGCTGTAATTCGAGTTCGAGGAGGCGAACTCGTTATAGTGACTACATCTAGTAAGTGCTTTTTGTTTGTCTTTTCTAATCAAGGTTTCTGCCGGTGTATGCTGAGAAAAAGGGTTGGAAATGAGCGACATTGATATTTACATATTCATTTAACACCCTCGTATCAACTCCACCTGTATGTATGTATTTATGTATTCATTTATGTATGTATGTAACTGACTCCTTTGGACTCAAAATGGACGCGTTTTGTAATGATGATCTAATTCTATTCAAAATTGGTATCTGGGGGTTATCGAGGTAGTAGGTTATGATTTTTTTTGTCAACATTGGTACATTCAAGATGGCGGATCCAATATGGCGGACGAATTTTGGTGTTATGATCCTAATTTATGCAAAATTTGTGTCTGGTGGTTTTCAGGATTAGAGATTATGATTCTTTCGTCAAAATTTCAAAATGCAAGTTGGCGGATCCAATATGGCAGACGAGTTTTGTAATTTTCATCCAATTCTACTCAAAATTTGTATTTGAGGTTTTCGGGGTTGGAGATTATGATTCTTTCATCAAAATTGGAAAATTCAAGATGGCGGAACCAATATGGCGAATAGGTTTTGTTATCATGATCCGATTTTATCATAAATCAGTACCTGGGGGTTATCGAGGCAGGAGATTATTTAAGATGCTTTTATCAAAATTGTTCAGCTAAAGAATAAGATCTGAATAGTATCTAATCTACTCAACACCAGAAAAATATTTTTGCAATTTTCAACTGAAGAAAATGATGAAATATTACTATGAAATCTTCTATTTTGGGTTGAATATCTCGAAAACTTCATTTCAGCTCGACGCATTTTTTTAACAAAATTGAACAGTGAATTCGAGGGATTGGAAATAATTGAAAGGACCCCGCACGAAAACACGGTAAATTGGCTCTCGGTCGAATTGGCTGAAATTTCACTATGTTATTGTGAGATGGCTCATTAGAAAAATATGTGAGTTTGAAAAGTTTTGTATGTTTAGTTTCTGAGATATAAGCCGACAAAGTTCGTAAAAACGTCGTATCGGGGTAGGATTGACGAAGAAAAAAACTGTTTCTTTAGTATAAATATGACAAAATAAGCTAGGAAATGTGTTGATCGGAACTCAAATACATGTCTAGTTATGATCACAAAAACTATAGTAAATCAGGGTGAATACGAGGCACTGTCAAAAAATTCATTTTTCGGAAAAAAAATTCGAGCACTATTCCAAAACCAACAAGTTATATTTTGATGAGACAAAGATCTATCAATATTCGGAGGTGGTATGCAATAGGTTTGTCTAAGTATTGATCACTCAAATAAGTGATATCACGAATATGTGTTGTGTTTGATGAAACTAATTCGAAACCACCATTACATTTAGTCATATGAATTTTCATTTATTTTCTCAGTGCGTTATTTGTGCACTTCTCTGTATATCCTTATTTTTGTGTTCATAAATAAGTATACAGGGTGGCCCACTTATGCTCGCTCGGACCATAGCTGCTATGCTGATAGAGATAGAAAAAAAATTCATCGGAAGTTATTGGAGACTTCATAAGCTACTCTTCAAAATTATTTTCTAGTATACAGGGTGCACCATGAATCCGGGGTGAAAGAATCGATCGTTTTTTTAAATGGCACACCCTGTATATTATTTCATTTTCGGAATCTCTCTTATGTGGGCTTCACGAACCTATTTTGTTTTTGAAGATCAGATGCGACGTTGTCAAGTAATTAACATTTTAATCAAATTTCACGAGAAAACATGAATGTTGAAAAATATTCAGGAAAACTATATTTCCGAAGATTCATGAACAAAACTGAGTATACAGATACTGAAAGTATGTGTAGAAACTCAGACATCATTTGGGTTCACCCAATATATACAGAGTGTTTTAAAATAAGGACCTAATTTCGCTATTTCCAAATCGCCGAAACACATTTTTTTCAAATGGATCACCCTGTATATTATTTCATAGTATGAAAGCTCATCCAATGGGCTTTTCGTTGATACCATATAGACCGTATCCAACGATACTCTTCGATAGGTAAATAACGATAAATCATTTCAACTGTACATTTTTATTCAAAACAAAAACAAACCTAGGGAAAATCCAACTGGCAATCAGAAATGTTCAAACTCATAGAACATATCAGTTCATGAGATGTTCAAAATGTGTTTCATTCTGCTGGATACATTTTTGAGCTCGATGTTTAATCGAATTCCTTACTTTTGACAACATTTCTGGTGTTATATTTGCAAAAGTTTCCCTTATCCTCATCTTCATGTTTTCTTTCGTTGTTACTGGTTCCGAATACACTTTGTTCTTCACATAGCCCCATAAGAAGAAATCGCAAGGCGTCAAGTCTGGCGACCTTGCAGGCCAGTGTATTGGACCTCCTCTACCAATCCACCTATCTTGAAAACGCTCATTCAACCACTGGCGGACTGGTGCTACAAAATGTACTGATGCACCGTCTAGTTGAAACCACATATTATTCAACACATTTTGTGGTACACGTTGAAGCATCGCTACCAAATGATTTTGTAGAAAATCTAAAACTACTACTCCATTTACCACACCATCAAAAAAGTAGGGGCCGATGACGTAATTATCAATAATACTTCCCCAAACATTCAAAGACCATCTTTCTTGGGAAGTGGTTCTGAATACATGAGGATTTTGATCCGAATAATAATGTTCTATTCTGCGATTGAAATCCTGTGGTAGAAGTTCCTGGTGTAATTGTATATGGAATGGATGAAATTTATGTTTCATTATTATGCGTTGAACTGAAGATCTTGAAATTTCTACATATTGGATCAATTCTCTGCTACTTATATTCGGTTTTTCAACTACAGCCGTCATTACCATCATCTCGTTCTCTTCGGTTAAAACAGTATAATTCACTGAACCACTACTATTATATCAGCTAGATTTGAAAAGCAGTCAACTTTTGGGCGTCTTCTGTCAGGATATCGTTTGGCATATACTCTACTTGCCAAAAGACAGTTCTTTTGACACTCACCCAAGATGCGTATATCATTTCAATCAATTCGTCCTTTGAATAATTCATTACCAAACAGTAATGTGCTACACCAAGAAGAGTAACTGACAACTTTATATGTCACTAAAACTTCTGTTGAAATGTAATTGATGAATCTTGTTGTAGAAACTGTCAAGATGTTCATCTATTTTCAGTGATTGCTTTTCATTCATCTCAAAAGAGTGATAAACAATAATTATCCACGTGAATTGAGCTATCTAAATAAAACAATCAAAGATTGACACCGAAAAACATATTCAATGAAAAAAGACCTCATCGAACAGGAATTCTTCCAAATTCAATCCATATTCAAATACTTTGAATCATAAATATTTTCAATATACGTTCGTAAATGTTTTTGATTGAAAAAAGTATGATTTCGTCGTTATTCGCCTATCGAAGAGTAACGTTGGATACGGTCTATATGGTATCACCGAAAAGCCCATTGGATGAGCTTTCAGATTACGAAATAATATACAGGGTGATCCATTTGAAAAAAATGAGTTTCGTCGATTTGGAAATAGCGAAATTCGGTCCTTATTTTAAAATACCCTGTATATTTTGAGTGAACCCAAATAATGTCTTAGTTTCTACAGATACTTTAAGTATCTGTACACCCAGTTTTGTTCATAAATGTTCGAAAATATAGTTTCCCTGAATATTTTTCAACATTCATGTTTTCTCGTCAAATTTGATTAAAATGTTAATAACTTGACAACGTCGCATCTGATCTTTAAAAACAGAATAGGTTTGTGAAGCCCACATGAGAGAGATTCCGAAAATAAAATGATATACAGGGTGTGCCATTTAAAAAAACGATCGATTCTTTCACCCCGGATTCATGGTGCACCCTGTATACTGGAAAATGATTTTGAAGGGTAGCTCATGAAGTCTCCAATAACTTCCGATGAATTTTTTTCTTCTATCTCTATCAGCCGAGCAGCTATGGTCCGAGCGAGTATAAGTGGGCCACCCTGTATCTGAGGATATTTCTTTTCATGATAATTCAAGTTATCTCTCAAGCAATACCACTCACCGTGATGAAGGTCTCCTTGCCGCCGCCCCCGAGCGCCGGCTCCCTCTCCTTGGAGCCTCGCCGACCCTTCTCGAGCGACCCCTGGCGGCGGTGCACGGCGGCAACGTGTGGCGGCGACGGCGGCGGCGGGACGTCGTCGTCGGTGAAGCGGGACTTCTGGAACGAAAAAGGGACGGTGTCAACCACTTGTCAACCGAAATTGTGCAAAGGACCTACGCGAAGGCTCAGAAGGACCAACAACTTTTTTGTCATTCCTAAAGTTGGCATCATATCGCACACCCAGAAAAACACTGTATTATGTCGAAAAATCTGAAAATCGACTTTTTTATATCGATGGATAGCCAAATTCGACGCGTATACCACGGAGACAGGCTCATTTATATCTACAAAAATCGACCAAAACTTAATAGGCTGGTGTTCAGCTTGGAATAGTTGTCACAACTGTCAGATGAGGTTTTTTTGAATTCTTAAGGGTAGTTCTCACTAGTGCTTTTGATAGAAATCGCAGTTTCCATCAAATATTATTCCAACAATTCATAATAGATAAAATGATGTATATACCGAGATGTGACGATTTTGATAAATACACCGCCAGAGATAGAGATAATGGGAAAAGCTGCGAAAATTGGATTCCTCATATATACGAAAAATTTAAGGAATAAAAAAATAGAGAAATGAAATCTTTTTCGGAGTTTCCTTTTTTGAAATACTCGGAAAGACGTCTACTCTTTGGTCACAATATTCAATGTGGCATAGTGCCACATTATAAAATGAATACCAATAACTTACACTACTTTCATTCTTTCGATAAGTGCAGTAGTAGAAAAAGTATAGTGTGCAACATGTGGAGAAAAATATTTTTCTCAGTCGTGTGTTTGCATCACTCCCCCTCAGGTTCGTGCCACAAACTTTCACACTCGTGAGAGAAGTTGAACTATCCCCACTTGTGGCACAATATACTATTTTCCACCACTGCAGTGTCATCCATAAAGTCGGCATCATATGGGAAAGACATTTAATGATAAGTTATTTCGAAATCGGACTTGGACGTCGAGTTTTGCTTTACAAAATATAAAAAATGGACTACTCGGACTACTCGGTCGGAACACGCGACTTTTGCTTCTTGTAAAAAGTTGAATATTTTCGAATCAATCGCGAGAAATAGGATCATTCGTTTGAATTTCGAATGTACAGTGTGTCCAGTTTTCGATGCTTTTGTGTGATATCTCAGTTATCTTTCGAGATAGAACCTTGCTGGTTTCGCGATCGTGTGCCACTTTTTTGTGAAACTCAAGATGGCCTAATCAGATTTTGCATAACTGTTTCCGTTTATGAGATACTGGGCGATTTTGAAAATTAATACTTTTTGGACCCCTTCTATATCTACGAAGTTTCTCAGCAAAAATGTCAAATTCAAATCTCATCCCATATGAAAGTTTACGCAGAATCCAATGGCGCACTCAAAATTTTTTTTCGGGGTACGGTTTTGGAGATACGACTCAAACTTATGTTTTTTTTTAAATGGAACACCCTGTATTTTATAAGCTCATAAAATCCCTTATTTTTTTCTCTTTGAGATGATTTATAATGTATCTATATGAAATTTTCAAAAATGCTCTGAAATCACTGAAACATTGAATTTTAATTGTGGGCTATGGATTTTTCTTATAAAAAAGTTTCAATTCAAGAAATATTTATTTTGATTTTTCCATAAAGAGAACAAAAACAATACCAACACTAATTAACTGAAAAAACACAAAAATTATGTACCTGATAGCAACAAATAAATAGTAATAAAAATTTCATAATGTAGAATAAGCACCAGATTGAATATTTACAAATACAATTGGATTTCGGAATCAATAACTTATTCACTGAATTGTTCAAATTGATGTCCATATTCCATAACACACAATTGACACATTTTCTCAATACGTCTTGATGTAAGAGTCACAAATAACTTGAAGAACTTCGTGAAACAACAGAGGCAGTTTTCCAGGAATTACAAAGACATCCTTTAATGATTTTGAATGCATTAAGACGTATTGAGAAAGCATGTGAGAAAAAGTGGATATCAATTTGAACAATTCAATGAATAAGTTACTGATTAATTTCGAAATTCAATTGTCTTAGTGAATATTAAATCAGGTGCTTATTCTAGAATATGAACTTTTTATTACCATTCATTTGTTGCTATCAGGTACCTAATTTTTGTGTTATCTTAATTAACTAGTGTTGGGATTGTTTTTGTCCTTTTCATGGAAGAATCAATTGAAATATTCTTCATTTGGAACATTTTTTAAATGAAAAATCCATAGCTCACTATTAAAATTCAATGTTTTAGTGATTTTGGAGCATTTTTGGAAATTTTATACATATTCATCATATTTCATTTTGATGGAGAAAAAATAAGGAATTTAATGAGCTTATAAAATACAGGGTGTTCCATTTGAAAAATCTTAAGTTTGAGTCGTATCTCCGAAACCATACCCAGAAAAAAAAATTGAGTGCGCCACTGAATTCTGCGCAAAATTCTGTATGGGATAAGATTCCAATTTGACATTTTCGCTGAGAAACTTCGTAGATATAGAGGGGGTCTAAAAAGTATAAATTTTCAAAATCGCCCTGTATCTCCGCAAGGTTCTATCTCGAAAGATAACTGAGATATCACACAAAAGCATCGAAAACTGGACACACTGTACAGTGTGGAATAATGGAAATACCCCTGTATCTTACGTATTCGTTGGGTAAGGATCTTGAAATTTTCTGAAGGGAAATATATACCAAAAATGTACTCTATGACCAAGTGGGGTCATCTTCAGTGATATACACTGCTCGCCATCAGCCATGGAACCATCCCAATTTCCGGAAAATGATATATAAGGAGAAAAATATTTTGAAAATCACTTCAGATTCGGAACCAGGACGCCCAATACACTAACTATTCATATTTTTCTTGAGAAAAATTTCAGTTCTGAATATCTCATTTTGGTCTCACTCTTCATGGGAATTTCCCCGAATCTTACGTAATTATCCAGTAAGGATTGTTATATTTCTAGAGGCAATGAATATTCCTAAGATACAGTCAATGACCAATTGTAATTACCATCAGTGATATACACTGCTCGTTAGCAGCCATGGAACCACATATCCGGAAAATCATATTAGCAGACAAGATAGGTTGGAAATCACTTCGGATTCGAGAACAGGAAACGAATCGTCTAATTCACTACCCATATTTCTTCTACAAAAATGTTAAGTTCTGAAATAATAAATTCTGTCTCGCTTTTCACAGAAGCACCCCAGTATCTTACGTGATTATTGATGTAGGGGTCTGACATTTTTAGGACCGAGGAAGATACCAATGAGAAAGTAGGATCATCTTCAATGATACACTGCTCGCCAGCAGCCACAGAACCACCGACATTCCAGGAGGAAAAATTTATCAAATCGGAAAATTGACTTAATGGTTAGTCTGAAATTGATAATCATATAGAGTTAGTTCTCATCGGGGATAATAAAATAACAATCTGAACTAGTACAATCGGATTGATTATCAGGAGTTATCCAATGGATCAGAAATCATGACGGGTGTCATTGAAATGAATTATGAATGAATGAATTTATTAATAGTATGAGGAGAATCGTTACCAATAATAATGCGTCAAGATATAGGAAGTTAGTGAATTGGACGGCCTGTTTTCGAACTCGAAGTGATTTTCAACCTATATCTTGTCTCGATATTATTTTCCGGACATGTGTGTAGTTCCACGGGCGAGCAGTGTATATCACAGAAGATGACCCCACTTGTATATACAGTATATTTATATCTCTCGCTCCAGCAAATTTCAGGATCCTAACCCAACGATTACGTAAGATACGGTGGTGTTTCCATGAAAAGTGAGACAAGAATGAATATTTCAGAACAAAAAATGTACAGAAAAAATATAAATAGTTAGTGAATTGGGCCTCCTTATTCCGAATCCGAAGTAATTTTCAACCTATTTTGACTCCTTATGCCATTTTCCGGAAATTGGGATGGTTTCATTACTGTTGGCGAGCAGTGTAAATCACTGAAGATGAAGATGACCCCTCCTAATAGCACACAACGTCCTAAGGACGTCCCTATTTGGAACAATACAAGTCCGAATGTCCCGGACCAAGAATAGGTGTCCTTGGGTCGTCCCATCCCGTACATCTCATGCAATGTCCTAGCAAGGACGTCCGCGGAATGTCGCAGCAGGTACATCATTTCAAATGTCCTAGAAATAGCATCACTTAGACGTCTCACGTGGTACATATTGTAGAAAGTCCATGCAAAGACGTCCTTGGTATGTCCCTGATGGGATATGATTTTGAACGTTCCTTTAGGGACTTCCATCGGATGTCCCAGGTAGTAAATATTCTGGCATGACTTCAGATCTCAATTAATGTCCCTTCTAGACAACCATGAAATGTCCCTGATGGCACATTCCTTCAAATATCTCTGCACAGACGCCCACCCATTAGATACTAGCGTTCCATATATGGAACACATGAACGTACAAGCTCTGAGCGCGTCCAAAAATATTTCCAATAGCAGAATTTTCCCCAGGCAATTTTTTTTTATCTTGTATAACACCTACATCTACCACTGAGGCATACTCAGCTACTATCGTTTTTACTGTAAACGTGTGAAATCTCGCGCCGTGAAGTGTAAGTGTAAGTACATATATTTCTCGAATATTTCAAATGTGATTATGAATAACCGATGTTTCAAACAGTTTATAACATACTTATTGTGTTGTCTGCAATAAACAATGGGAATTATATTTTATATCTGATTAGATTTTGTGTTTTTCATCGTGTTCCTTATATGGAACACTAGGCTAGTAGGATGCTGAATATGTTCATTTCATAGTTCGTCAGTCCAAGACATTCATTCAACGTATTGATGACCAACCAGAAGACAAAACATGTGTCTCATATACATTTCATTTCGATAATTCATCCACTTCTGTGAAATTTCTTCAACTTCTGATGCAAAGGCGCTATGATGGTTCTGGCACAGAGCAAGAAAATAGGATTTCTCGTTATTGTTCAATAACTATGGACGATAAGTGGAGAGAAAAAACTTGGTTAATTTGATTACGCCTCATGTCCTACGGTGATGCATC